CGAGCCTCTCGGAGGTTAGGGCGGCCCCATCCGTCTGTCCGCGCCAGCGAGGATCTCCCCCGCCGCCCGCCCGCGCCTCCGCCCGCCCGCGCTTCCCTTTCCTGCCTCGCGCCCCACTCCCTTTCCTCCCTCCCGGTTTCCCTTCCTGCCCTTCCCAGCTCGCGCTCTTTCCTCTCTGCTTGCCTTTCTTTGCATCGGCGTCTTGAGGAGGCTTTTACACACACACGCGCTGTTCATTGCAGCTTACATAAAGCAGCGCGCGAGATTATGCAATTGCATTGTTAGCCATATTCAAGGGCAATGGCTTGTTTTCTTAGGGTTTCAACACGAAAAGATCAAGTATGTTTTAAAACAAGCCTTGAAAATAATATCTTGCAACGTAAGGAATTTTTTTCGGTATTTTTACACAATCTCTACTTTGGCCAAAAGAACCTGGACGGTGTTTGTGTGTGTGGAAAATGGGAGAGATGGTGGGTAGTGCCATTTTTACATGTAGTTCAAAAAACTTAGTATAAGACATTAAATACAGGTAGAAGTTGTACAAATAAATACAAAGCATGTGCTATTATCCTTGTCATCAAGCAGTTCTTTAAGAAATTAAAATAGATTCTATTTTGACTCTTGCAGACTCTACAGTCAGGGTTTTTGCAAATTCTGAGTAGATTATTAAGTTTTCTGATTGTCTCTTTTTTAGAATTATTGCATTAGCTGGTCATAGTTAAGCATAGCAAACCATTGTATTAAATAGATCTTATAAAAGAGAATAGAAACATCGAGAGGCTGAAACGACTAAAGCTTTTCAGTTGACCTCTTTTTACCATAGATAATCCAGTTGTCAAATAATTTTAGGTTTCAGATCTAGTATAACTTGAACTTCAAAGAGACCTTGAGAATCCCTTGATTTTCATCCCAAAGTTCAAAGTGACTTTCCAAAGGTCAGGCTCATATCAACGGCCAGAGCTTGGTCCACTGCAGTTTGCCTTTATAAGAAAGTTTTGGCCTTTTTTTTAAATTAGGGATTCATACCTCAAAAGATCTCATACCATACCAGTAGTACTGAAAAAACATAAGTGTTTTGCAGAGCCCTCCCTTAATTATTTTATCTGACCCTAGTTGCAGGTGGCTACTGTGGAAAGACTATAAAATGCTTTTCGAAGCCAATTGTTGCTTCCGTTTTTTTAATCACAGATGCATTGGTAACTGGCCTTGGTCCCCTTAACAGTGATAAGGTTTTCCTCTCTACCTTGTCAGGATGTCAGTATTCAAGCCTAGTGTGAGAAAAAGAATGAGGAAGATTTTTTATTACTGCTTCCACGAAGTCCAGATCACATGACAAGTGTAGCTGAACTTTGTATCATAGTAGGGGTGAGAGATAAATTGTTTCATTACTGCTTCCACGAAGTCTAGATCACATGACAAGTGTAGCTGAACTTTGTATCATAGTAGGGGTGAGAGATAAATTGTTTCAATTTTAACTTGGAAAATTGTGCAAGTTGTTTAAAAAGAGAGAGGGGAGAATATGTTTGCACATTGCTCTGTGTCATTTGGATGACAAAAAAATATGGTTATAGGCCTTAATCTTTTGTTTTTTAGGAGGAAAGAATGGAAATGATTTCTGAAAGGCCAAAAGAGAGTGTGTACTCCTGGAACAAAACTACAGAGAAAAGTGATTTTGAAGCTGTAGAAGCACTTATGTCAATGAGTTGCAGTTGGAAGTCTGATTTTAAGAAATACATGGAAAACAGACCTGTTACACCAGTATCTGACATGTCAGAGGAAGAAAATCTACTGCCAGGGACACCTGATTTTCATACGATCCCAGCATTTGTAAGTATTACTGTTTCTAAGGTGGATGTAAATGATAGGATTTCGTATAATTTACATAATGAACTTTAAATTTCTCATGCTGTTGCTTGTATATTTCTTTTCTCTTTAGTGTTTGACTCCACCTTACAGCCCCTCTGACTTTGAACCCTCTCAAGTGTCAAATCTGATGGCACCAGCGCCATCTCCTGGGCACTTCAAATCATTCTCAGATACTGCTAAGCCTCACATTGCTGCACCTTCCAAGGAAGAAGAAAAGAGCCCAGTATCTGCCCCCAAACTCCCCAAGGCTCAGGCAACAAGTGTGATTCGTCATACAGCTGATGCCCAACTTTGTAACCACCGATCGTGCCCAGTAAAAGCAGCCAGCATCCTTAACTATCAGGACAATTCTTTTCGAAGAAGAACCCACCTAAATGTTGAGGCTGCAAGAAAAAACATACCATGTGCTGCTGTGTCACCAAACAGATCCAAATGTGAGCAAATCACAGTGGTAGACGTTGATGAGAAAGCAAGTGCTGCACTTTATGACTTTCCTGTGACTTCCTCAGAGACAGTCATCTGTAGGTCTCAGCCAGCCCCCATGTCCCCATCCTCACAACAGAAGTCGGTGTTGGTCTCTCCACCTGCAGTAGCCACGGGAGGAGTGCCACCCATGCCAGTCATCTGTCAGATGGTTCCCCTTCCTGCAAATAATCCTATGGTGACAACAGTTGTTCCCAGCACTCCACCCAGCCAGCCACCAGCAGTCTGCCCTCCTGTTGTGTTCATGGGCACTCAGGTGCCCAAAGGCGCCGTTATGTTTGTTGTGCCCCAGCCTGTTGTGCAGAGCCCAAAACCTCCAGTGGTGAGCCCAAATGGCACCAGACTCTCTCCCATTGCCCCTGCTCCTGGGTTTTCCCCTTCGGCCTCAAAAGTCACTCCTCAGATTGACTCATCGAGGATAAGAAGTCACATCTGCAGCCACCCAGGATGTGGCAAGACATACTTTAAAAGTTCTCATCTAAAGGCCCACACGAGAACACATACAGGTACCAACTATTTATTTATGTCTTTGAATTTTTAAATGATGAGTTTTGGGCTGTGATCACAGATACAAACCAGGCTCATTAAGGAAGAACTTGCCTAATTTGTCAGCTCAGTGGATATTTACCAGTGCAAGGTCCTCTAAAAGACTTTATCAAGTTGCTTTTGTTTTAATCTCTCAAATGATTTTTCACATGGGTGAGTAGTTACTTTAATAACGTATCTTTAAAGCCTTTGAAACGTAGGTCAAAAGGTCAGAAAACCTTTTTTTAGGTTTTTGGCTTCTTTTATAAGGGGGAGATTTTTATAAATGTGATAGAGTGAATTTTGAAAATGGAGCAATACATATCTAATACCCATTTGGCAGTTCATTAACTTATTAGCTTTTGTTATTTTAAAATGTATCTCCTCATACACCTTTAGGTATACTTGAACATGTAATTTACAGTGATTTAATAAGCACATAATAACGATGATCTGAATTTCTTTATTTCAGGAGAAAAGCCTTTCAGCTGTAGCTGGAAAGGTTGTGAAAGGAGGTTTGCCCGTTCTGATGAACTGTCCAGACACCGGCGAACCCACACAGGTGAGAAGAAGTTTGCCTGTCCCATGTGTGACCGACGGTTCATGAGGAGTGACCATTTGACCAAGCATGCCCGGCGCCATCTGTCAGCCAAGAAGCTCCCAAACTGGCAAATGGAAGTGAGCAAGTTAAATGACATTGCTTTACCCCCAACCCCTGCTCCCACACAGTGACAGTTTGGAAGGCTAAGAATCAGAACTAACTTTGGTCACAGCTGGGAGCCAGTGATGATGTGAAAATGCTTCCACTGCAAGTCTGTGGCCCTCCAGTGTGGGCTGAAAACAGAAGCCGCACAGCTGGGGGCGAAGACCCAGCCTGGGTTAGATGAAAGAAGTGCTTCGGTCACAGGCAGGTCACAGAATGGCAGGTTTCATTTCTTATCACATAAGAGAGATGAGAAAGCTTTTATTCCTTTGAATATTTTTTGAAGGTTTCAGATGAGGTCGGCACAGGTAGCACAGATTTTGAATTTGTGTGCACATTTGTTACTTTACTTTTGCTGTTTTTACTTGAGACCAACTTTTCAATGTGATTCTTCTAAAGCACTGGTTTCAAGAACAGAGACTGGAAATAAACATTACGGTACAGAGTTGGAGATGTAAAATCAGTTTGTATTATTACAGATATTGTCATCTTTTCCTAGAGTTATCTTGTTTACTATTTCTAGTTTTTCCAGTCAACTTTGTGGATGTAGTTGTTAAATATATCTTAGAACTATCATTTTTACACTATTGTTGATATTTGGAATTGAATGGCTGTAATATCGCTAAAGAGGGCCAATGGGTTGGATTCCTCATTAATTTAATTGCTTTGAAGTAGCTAAAAATTTTTTTCATTTTTTTTTGTAAGTTTAACAAATGATTATATATAGGCATTTTATTATGCTTTGAACTTTAGTTTGCCTGCAGTTTCTTGTGTAGATTTGAAAATTGTATACCAATATGTTTTCTGTAGACTATATGATACACTGCACTTTGTTTAGAAAAAAAAATCTGAAGACAAAAATATATATTGTAAAGAAGGGATATCAAGAACTTTAGATAACTCCTTGAGAAAGATGGCTTTTGTTATGAAGATATAATGTGAGCTTTATTGAATTAGAAAGTTAGTGACCATTATTCACAGATGGACAAGTGTTGTCCTATTAATTTATAGGAGTTTTTTGGGGATGTGGAGAGGTAGGTAGGTAGAAAAATTATGAAAACATTCACTTTTGTTAACAGTATTTCTGTTATATTGTATAGAGAATGATATACACAGTGGTAAAACAAAAGTAAGTTGTTAAAAATATATAGTGAAAAATGTCACTATATCTGCACATTTAACATTTTTCTGTACATTGGGTGTAGATTTCTGACATTAAAATTTGGATCCTTGAAAAACAAAAAAGAGTTTTCTCTTTAAAAAAAATCCTTGTGACTTACAATTTGCACAGTATTTCTTTTGTTGTACTTTATATCTTGTTTACAATAAAGAATTTCCTTTGGTATATATGATTGGTTCATTGCATTTGTTAAAAACTATTCTTACTCTGACCTTCATATTGATCACTTGTACTAAGACTTAGACTGAATTTCTCTAAGGATCTCATTCAAATTTAGAACTGTTGAAGTACAAGGTGTCTTCAGAAAGTTCATGGAAGGATTCGTATTATCTTTTAATTCAGTTTTTCCATGAACTTTTTGAAGTACCCTTGTATATGTTTAACATGAATCAATGTAGAATATACAAAGTGAGGCCAGTTTCTATATATTTGTTGAGATAATGTGTGAACTGGCCATTTCTAAGGAACTAGCACATTTTAGTTTTTAAAAATTCTTGCACGTTTTTGATGATTTGGGGGTGAAATAGAGCTCTGACTGTCAGCAAAACCTTAAGTAACATTAAGTTAAAGGGAGCACCACAGTGAATAATTACAAGCAATGAAACTGCTGTAGCAAATGAAAAGAAGACTGACCTATTAAATAGTAAATTGCTCACTTCTAGAAGTTAAATTAGCTCAGACCATTAAGTGATACCTTAAATACCAATAAACATATTGGTACTTAAGCTGTATGAAAGCTAATCCACCTCTAAAGAGAAATACTTGTTAGTTGCTGGTCGGTACAAACAACTAGGGGCAAAAAAAAACCCTAGGGGCTGTGAATGCTACTTGGTGTATGGAGTATAATTTTGTAGGTAAGTATTTGCTTGGAGATCCCCTTGTGGTCATGAGACCATCTTCCACAATGCCCAGCATAACCATTGACCCTAGAGTCTGGCTCACTGTGGAACACTGTGATAGGGGCAGTGTACTTTGCACCAGTTGTTAGGACAAGTGTCTTGAGTTGTCTCTGCACCTGTTGCTACTTCTTTCCTTGGAAACTTAATACCACCTAAGTGTGACACAGCTGCTGGAGAGGCCCTGCTGTTCTGCAGCTTCAGCGTTAGGAACCTGGGCCATCCTAACTCCCCTGGATTTCCTCATGGTGACAGGTCCAGAAGTGGGAATGGAGGAAGATGGCTGAAGTTTTCTCCACCTATCCCAAAGCCCAGTCCCTTGTAATGATAATGGCCAATGGAATTGTTTCTGTGTTCTTCCCAGTCCTAGAGACTTTTCCTTAGGAATCTTCTAAATAAATCCTTCAAATAAAGTATTATTTTTGACGTATGAATGTTGAGGGAGGCCATGATCTTGATGAGAAAGTTGCTCCCAAACAAGTGCATTTGTAGCACATCACAGTAGTGTGACGTGTAGCTTTAGCACTTCAATTTTTATTGCTTCTTGTCTGACATACTAAGATGAACTATATGAAATTGCTGAGATTCAGTTTTCTTAACAGTTAATTCTTTTTAGATAATTTTAGACTTAGAGAAGTTGTAAAAGTAGAGTTTCTATATACCCCTCATCCAGCTTCTTATGATAATCAAAACTAAGAAATTAACTTTGGTATAATACTATTAACTAAAGTACAAAACTTGTTTGGATTTCACTAGTTCTTTTTTTTTTTTTTAAATATATTCCTTTTTTTGGTTCTAGTCAGTACTGGCATCTGAAAGATTTTCCTGGTTTTTCTATTCTTTTTTTCTATTACAGGACCTAATCCAGGTCTCAAATTGCATTTAGTTGTCAGGCCTCTGCAACCTCCAAACTGTGGTAGTTCCTCAGTCTTTTCTTGTCTTTTGAACAATATTTGTCATTTTGTAGAATGCCCCTCAATTTGGGTTGGTCTGGTGCTTTTTCATTATTAGATTGAGGCTATGCATTAATCGGGAAAGATACCATGGAGTGATAATGCCTTTCTCAGGGCATCATTACAAGGAACACATGATGTCAATGTGCATCGCTGGTGATGCTAACTTTGCTCTCTGGGCTAAGGTGATGGCTCCTGGAATTTTCCACTATAAACTTACTTTTTTCTGTTTAAAATTATTAAATATTTGGGGGGAGATACCTTAAGACTGTGAATAACCTGTTTCTGCTTAAATTTTTCCCCACTCATTTTAATATCCTTACGTTGATCTTGCCTGAGGCTGTTATTACTGATAAGCTAATTAGAATTCTCCTGTAAGAATTGTTGCTTCTACATTTACTTATTCAGTTATTTATGCCAATGTGGACTCATGGATGTTTATGTCATTCTTTGAATCATAACACTAATTCATTTTGTGACTCAATTATTCCAACTGTGGCCCTTGTTAGTTCTTTAGGTATTCAACCATTTTTGATTGACAAAGATGGAAATTTCATATGGTTCAACTTATCGTTTATCACTGGAGTGAGAAGTGTTTGGTATTAGTGATTCCACTTTTAAAGTTTTCTTTACCCACACTGCCACCACTCCATCTAATTCAGCATCTCCCACCTGAACCCATGCAGCTGCCCCTAACTGGTCTCCCTGCCTCTAGTCTTGTTTTCCTACCATCCAGTCTCCTCACCACAGAGTCTTTTAAAAATGCAAATCTGATCATGTCATGTCCCTGTTTAAAACACCTCATAAACTTCCCAGTGCTCTTAGGATTAAGTCTAGGATTCTTAACGTGGCTTAGAACAGTGCTGCCTAATAGAAGTAAAATGTAAGCCATATATGTCATTTGAAATTTTCTAGTAGTCAAATCAAAAAGGTAAAAAAGAAAAAAAAATAACTTTAACATTCTTAACCCAATATATTCAAAATATTATCATTTCAACATATAATCAATACAAAATTGTTAATGAGATATATGACATCTTTTTTGGTATGAATATTTGAAATCCAGTCTGTATTATATACTCACAGCACATCTGTGGTAGGACTAGCGTCATTTCAAGTGCTCAGTAGCCACATGTGGCAGGTGGCTGCTGTAGTGTGCTACAGGTCTGGAAGACCCTGCCCCATTAGGGCTTCTACCAACCTCCTACACCACTTTCCACCTTATTATCTATCCTACATCAGAGCTCTGAGCCTTCATAGATGCTATTTCTTCTGCTGGGACTGTTTCTTCTGCCCTTTTACCTTGACATTTCAGCTGTCATAATAATCATTACTCTTTACTGAAATTGCTTAGTGTCTTTCTCTTTTCCCTTGACTGTAAAGCCCCATGAGGACAAGGACCCTGTGGGTCTTGCTCACTGCTGTATCACCACCATCTAGCACAGTGCCAGACACAGCAGGGGCTCAATAAATTTTGTCAAACCAAAAATTGAACCAAGAGGAGACCTGCGCAATTTTAGGGACAGAGAACAATTAAGAAGTTGTTACATGATGTGCAGGATACAGACGAAAGCAATGAAAAGCTGAAGACTGCCTTTTTCTTATTCCTATCATCCTTGGCTAGTGCTGGACCATTTATTCCACTTTCCAAACTCTTTTTAAAAGTCTCATAGCATTTAGATTCTCCTGACTGCATTTTTAGCAGGGCAGGGAAGAAATCTGATCAAGGCCAACAGAGGCTCTTAATGTGAGTTTAAAACCTCAGCCTGGACTGGCTGAGACACGTGGCCTCAGCTCTCACCCCACCCTTTCTCTCTGGAGGACATACGGAATGAGGCAGGAACAGAAATGGGGGCTTTTATCAAAGGCACTGGGCAGTCAACGAAGACTTGGAGCTAGGCAAAATCTTTTTGGAGACAACACCAGGGGACACATTAAGTCTTTCTTCAAGAGATGTCCCACTGATTTTGGTCTGGTGCTTTAATGCGGTCTTGGCATTTTTCTTTTCTTTTTTTTTTTTTCTTTTTTCTTTTTGTCTTATTTTGTGCCCGGCAACGGATCGCAACCCTCAGTGTCGCGCCCGTACCGGACCGGGACCGGCCACGGGATCGCAACCCTCGGTGTTGCTCCCGCCCCTCGCTCAGCCAGTGAGCGGCCGGTCTGTATGTGGGATCCGAACCCTCGGCGGGAGCGCCACCGCACTTCCCAAGCGGCGCACTATAGCAGTGCGCCACCGGGCCGGCCCAGTCTTGGCATTTTTCTAACCAACTTAGGACCAGCTTACAAATGACTTAAGAGTTAGTTCTCAAACAGTGCTGCCTCTAATTTTCTACATGAGTAGCTGTGCCCTGGAGAAGGTGTCAGGGAAAAAGCACTGACCAAATTAAAACACCTGGTGTATTAGGGTTCTCCAGAGGAACAACCAATAGAACAAACAATAAACACACACACACACACACACACGAGAGTTCTTCTAAAAGTCAAGGAAAGATTTGTGCCATCTTTTCTTTTTCTTTTTGGCAGCTGGCTGGAACAGGAATCAAACCCTGGACTTTAGTGTCATCAGCACCACACTAACCAACTGAGCTAACTGGCAAGCGTATTTATTATCTTTTATTAATGAACTTTTTGAAGTACCTTCATATGAGAGAAAGAGATTTATTATAAGGAATTGGTTCACGTGATTATGGTGACTAACTATTCCCAACATCTGCAGTTGTCAAGCTGGAGACCCAAGAGAGCCAATGGTGTAGTTTAGTCCAAATGCTAGCAGGCTCAAGACCCAGGAAGTGTTGATGGTTCAGTTTGGGTCCAAAGGCATGAAAAAAAACAATGTTCCAGCTTGAAGGCAGTCAGGAAGCAGGAGTTCCCGCTTACTTAGCCATTTGGTCTGTTCATGCCTTCAACTGATTGGACGAGGCCCACCCAAATTAGGGAGGGCAATCTGCTTTACTCAGTCCACCAATTCAAATGTTAATCTCTTCCAGAAACACCCTTACAGACACACCCAGAAATAATGTTTGACCAAATATATGGGCATCCTGTGGCCAATCAAGTTGACACATAAATTTAACCATCACACCTGGATTCTAGTCCTGGTTACACTGATAATTAGTTTATTCCTTGGGAAAGTTGCTTTATCATTCTGGGTCTCAGTGTCCACTTTTAAAAATAGGGCTAACCACACTTGCCTTATTCAGTTCATAGAGGTGCAGGCAAGCTCAAATAAGGTTATGTACATAAAAGGCTCTGGAAAGTATAATACATTCTATATTTGTTGGCACTGTTATAGCACCTATGTGTGGGAATATACACAGG